ACTTCTCTCTGTACACTGTCAGTACAGAGAAACCTGGAAGGATCTCCACAATTTCAATATCGGAAGCTGTATGTTACCAATGATGGCTTAAGATGCCATAGAGGAAACAGACATTCAAAAGAGATAATACTAGACATGATGCACGAGCATTAGCTAGATAGATCAAACAGCTTCCACAATCATAAGCAACAAAGAAAATCAAAAGGAAGAATTAATAGAGATGGTAACTAGTATAGAAATGTATTTAGCAAAGAACACGGATTTAGATACCTGTGTCTATGACTGTCGCGTCTCCTGTCTCTGTCTCTATCTCTTTCTCTTTCTCTTTCTCTTTCAGGACTCTTACGGTGATGATCCTATAAATGAGGAAGCAAATGGTATCAACGTAAGAGCTGCTAGATAGAAATAGTAAAGAGAAGAAATACTAATTATCACAGAATAAAGCAGTGACCTTCTCATCTTCAGATCCATCAGCCATCCCTTCATTCTCCTCCTTTTCTTCCTCTTCTTCAAAGTCATCTTCCAAAACACTTTTCCTTGGCTCTAATAAACCATTCTGTTCAAGCGTCCACCTATCATCACATTGAAAAGTTAACACTCGTAATATACTGCAGAAACCAAAGATTAAAACTCAGCTAGAGAGAAATGTTAAAGAACAAACCTTTTCTTCAAACGTGGCATTGCAATATCACAAGAATAATCCTTGGTTAAAAGTTCCTCAATGACTTCATCCACATGTGTCAACGAAAACCCTATTCCAAACCAAAAGAGATCAAATTGGTTATGGCAAAAATCAATCAAAAGATTACAACGGATCCATTGAAAGAAAATGAAACTTACTCCCATCAGGTAGCTTTTGTCTCACTTTTCTGTAGTCATTATAGAGAGGCTCGAGGTAACGATAGACATCAACATCAGTCCCGGTAAGCCGGAGATAGAAAGCACCAAGAATACGAACATATCTGCAGAAACCAAGAGATTAAATCGTCTCAATAATCAACATTTATAACATTCAATTCAAAACGTAGGAAACAACTCAAGCTAGCTGCAATTTACCCTACATGGACATACCCAGATTTGGGATACATTCAAAACATATATGCTTAAGAATCAACTAAAACAAGACTAAGCTTCTGGTTAGAAATCATACTTGTAATCATCATTTTTGATGAACTCGACGACAATTTCTTTCTCAGGCTGGATTTGGAGCATCTTCAGTATGAGGCAAAGGAACGGAGTAGGCTTGCGGCTACCACCAAAGGTTCCACCAAGATGGTCAAGCTCCATAGCTTTGTCAACCAACGTTTCCGCAGTGAGGCCAAAACACTGTTCCTTCCAAAAAGTATGCTGATATATCTTCGTCCTCACAATCTTCTCTACCAGGTTCTGTGGATTCGTCCCTCTGATATTCTTGGCCAACGGATCTGTTCTGTTTGCCATTGTCGCCGGAAGTTAATCAGAAATCGCCTCAAAGGCCTGGTCGCCGGAGTAACAAGCGTCGATTCACGCCGCTTCAGTGAGGCCGGAATCGACGAAACTGCTTCAACGAATTTGCCGTCGTAGAAGACGAAGACGGTCTAGGGCTTTGAAGAATCTGAGTTCTGAGAGGTAATTTCTGGAAAAAAAAAAGATTAATTCGTTTTTATTTATTTTTTTATTAATGATTGTTTTTCATCGGTGGTAAAGCCCATAATGAGAAAATATTAATGGGCTACTAATATTTTTCTTCTGGCCCATTAGAGGTGGAGATAACGCCGTTAGTTGGAAGTCCGTTAAGACCGTTATATCAAGCATAAACCCTATCGAAGAAATGCAGTGTTGTGCTTTTTGATTCAGCGAAGAACCCCAAAAGAAGAAGAACACAAATTTCGGAAATAGCGAAAGAGAAGAACTTCACAATGGATTCAAAGACGAAGCAGATGATTCTGTCAGCTCTCTGTAAACACTTCTCCTTGGATCCGGTAAGTGAAGAAGATGCCATCTCAAAATCTTCAATTTTTTCTTTGAGCTCTTGCTTGGTAGCTGACTATGTGTATGATCATGTATTGAATTAGTTAATCAAGAAAACTCAAACATTTTATGATTGGGTATTGATTCAATTTTAAAGATTGTGTGCCATATTTTAGGTTTATCAGTGTTTGCACTTGTGCATTAAGCTGGTTTATGAAAAAGGAAGAACCTTTCTAACTTGGGAGTTTATGGTTTGTTTGGATTGGGTTTGCATGGCATTGATGGCACACTGTGTCTGTGTTGATCATTTTTATCCGTCATCCAGAACTTACACCAGTCCCTCATTTTTTTATCCTAAATAAACAGGAATGATTTTTGCGTTGTTTCTGAAAATAATTTTATTCATTTTCTTAGGAAAATTTTCTGGGCGGAGCTAGTCAGAGTGATGTCAAGACGCTTTATTCTAATGTTTTGAAGGCATCTGGAAAGGAAGTGTCTGCACAAAACAACGAGGTAATTTATTGAAATGTGTACCTAACGATATGAATGCCAAACTCTAAGTGGAAGATTATTTGCGCTGTGATGAAATTTGTACCATATTTTGAGAAAGTGAAGGATTAGTTTGTTTGTGCTGTGATGCAATGCCTTGTGTGTGGTGATGGATGATGAGTATTCATTGGCTCTCTTTTGCATAAAGCGTTAGCATTTCACATTTGAAAAGTAATGACATATTTCAGGTTTTGAAGTGGCTGGATTTTTCGGAAGCTTTCCCTGCAATTTCCAAGGATTGCTTTGCAGCTCTTGAAAAGTTGAATGTTGAGTTAGCTACCAAGTCGGTACTCTTGGGAAATGGATTGACGCCATCAGCAGCTGATGTTGCTGTGTTTTCAGCTTTGCATTCTTCAGTGGTACCACTTCTTTTAAATCCATAGTTTAATTATCATTCGTTCCTGAGTAATTTTATGTTTTTCGTTAAATATTCCAAGATGAAATTTTCATAAAATGTTAACTAAAGGCGGCCTTACAGACTAATTGTTCTCTGTTTGACTTACTGTTCCCAGCTTGGCCTCTCAGATTCAGACAAGGAGAAAGTACCACATGTCATAAGATGGATAAATTACATCCAGGTAGGTTCCACATCATAGAATTATCAGTACTTGATTGCGCCAATGTAGTCTGTAAATGAGTAAATCTATGGAGGACTACTTTATGTGTAGGCGTTAGCGACTATTACATATAATCTTTGCACTCTCTGAACTTCAACCTTTCACTTTATCTTACCTTGTTATTTCTGCTGTACTGATAAATGCTGCTCATTATCTTATTTTTACAGAATAAAGAAGACTTATCAACATTATTTGCTCCAATTCCTGTGAAGTTATCAGTGTTTGACTTTGAGGTGAATTATCTTTTCATACCAATTCCTTAGTTTTACATCTTTCCATATGAATTACACGTTGTCCTTTCCTTTCACTCACGATGAGCAAATGGTTTTCTGATGTCTTTCCTTTAAACGCAGGTATCAAAAAGTGTTCCTAAGGTGGAAGCAAATTCCAATGCAAAAAAAGCTACGGAAGGTGTAAAGCCTGTTGACAAGTCAGAAGTGCAGCCGATCACAAAGAAAACTGAGCCTGAGGTACTAATTTTAAATTTTAAGTGGTATATATTAGACTGTGAGTCTATTTATATTGTAGAATCTGATGTTCCCTCCCTTTTTTTTGTGTATGTGTAGGAACCAAAGAAAAAGGCTACAAAAGAGAAGGATGCCAAAAAAGAAAAGAAAAAACCCGCTGAAACAGAACCAGCTAACAAAGACGTGGAGCTTAGTGTCAGTTTGCTTAATATCCAGGTCGGTCTAATTCGCAAAGCATGGAAGCACCCATCAGCAGATAGGTTTGTGGCCAAAACATTTCAATATTGTGGCTCTGTTAAAGATTAGCTTTTAATATGTTTTGAGACTTGTCTTATGTATAATGCAGTTTGCTGGTGGAAGAAATAGATGTCGGGGAGGAAAAAGTGAGGCAAGTAGTTAGTGGCTTAGCAAAGTTCTGCAATCCCGATGATCTAGCGGTATAGTGATGCCATGATTACAAATAACAATAATAAATTTGGTTTATCAATCCATAAATTGGTCCGGTTCTTGAAATTTAAAGTTACTAACCTATGGTTTCCTGATTGCTGGGTTATGATGATGAAGAACCGCCTTGTTGCGCTCATCACAAATGTCAAACCTGGAAAGCTAAGAGATGTTATGTCACAAGGACTGGTAATGCTTTCTTCGATCCGCCTCAATCCAGTTGATCAACGATCAAAGTTTTGCAACACCCTCACATTAGCTCTTCTTCTATGTTATTTGTTTCTTTGCCACAGGTTCTTTGTGCTTCAAATGAAGATCACTCGGTGGTAGAACCGTTGCTGCCACCTGCTGGGGCTAAACCAGGAGAGCGTGTATCATTTTCAGGGTATATCGTTAACATTAATAAGATCTTTCCTTTTTCCTTTTTTTCCTGTTTATCGCAAACTCAAGGGCCCTTTTCCGTAATGTTGATCTAGGATTGAAGGGAAGCCAGAAGATGTACTAAACCCTAAAAAGAAGCAACTAGAGAAGATAACACCGGTATATGCTTCATGCCCTTTTTTAGGTTTCAGACTTAATCAAACCAAACATGCGAGTACTGTTTTTACATAATTATATATAAACATCCAATCTCACGGGAAATTTGGTTAATCACACGCAATTGCAGGGTCTCTACACTGATGAAAATGGCGTAGCCACATACAAAGGCATACCATTCATGACCTCAGCTGGACCTTGCACTTCCAGCATCCCCAAGGCTACCATCAAGTAGTGAACTTTATACTTCTTTCTCTTTTCTTACATATGTCTTTGATATTCACAAAACTCAGTTGGAAAAGAAGATATGTTTTGTCACAATTCGAATGAGTCTCTCTAACTTTTGTTCTTGTTAAACTGTTTTGACTCTCTTTTTCTTTATGAGCTGTCTGCTACTAGAGTTTGGTTTTGGTCAGTTCCGTGTTCTTTCTCCTTTTGATCAGGCTGTGCAAGTCCACCATTAAATGTCAGGATTGGCATACTGTCTACAGAGAACCAGTTCGCTACTTATGTTAGCTTCAGTTAGATAAACTAAACCAGTATTGACCATCAAATCAATTGTATTTAAGTTAATTCATCTCAATAAAATCATGAAAAATAGGGGATTATCTCATGAAGTTCAAATTAAACTTGTATTACTTCAAATACATGAAACAATCAATCTCCTATGATCATGATTCTTAATATGATGATCTTATTACAAAAGTTAAAAAGAGGGATAAAGAATCTTTAGAGATGGCCCATGAGGATCTCTAGAAGAGATTGGTGGTCCATTTGCGACAAAAGATCATTATCATATTTTCCTTTTTCAACTTATTGTATTCCAAGGATCTAACCTCCCAAAAAACAAAAAAATTAAGAAAAAAGTTGTATTATAATATCTAAAGATTTATCTGATCAGCTGATACAAGATCCGCACGACTGTGAACTGGACACAATTGTATGTTTCTTTATTTAGCTTCTCAAAGAATCAGTCCTCCATAGCAAACACACAACTTCTTTCTTATAATAAACACACACGAAATCTTTTATACTTTGTCCCCGGGAAAAAAATAAAACAAAATTTGATCTTTTTTTGGCTATTATTATTCTACGAATCCAAAATCATATCGAATCAGTTCTTGGCATATAATTATTATAGAGAGATTGTTACCGAATAAATCTCTAGTCATATCATATTTTTCAGTTGCATGCATCTCTACAAATTTAAAAGTGGTCCAAAAGAAATAATAGAGAAACCCCACACGATTAGAAGAAGAAGATGTCGTAACTCAAAACACAAAAAGACAAGTTGTATATGAAACTATAACGACGACTGGTATTTGAAACTATAAACCCCTAAAAATAAGATATCACGAAATATCCGTGATATCCTTTGATGCAATCTCTTCCTCATGCTCTGTTTTTTTTTTTTTCTATTTTTTTATTAATTTATTCTTGGGCAATAGTATATAGATATATCATGAAGTTGGTAATAATAATGGAAAATTCTTCACCCACCAAAATCAAGAGAAAGAAACCATCATAAATACCATCACCACATTCACATGATTCATACATGCACACTTCTGAGTCTGTCACTTTCTTTCTTCATTGTCTATGTGTTTTGTCTTATTTTGTTTTCTTTCTTTTTATTGGAGGTAGTGGTGAAGAATTAAAAGCAATGTCGTCTGCGAGGCTTTTTGTAGTATTGAGGCTCTAGAGTCAGTCTTTGCTTATTGTCAAATTGTTTTCTCTTTATTTCAGTTACTTGACATCGCTAAGGAGATGAACAGTTCCGGAGATTCTTGTTCGTCGTCGTTGATGGAGGTTGCTTATGATGATGATCATCATGAAGAGATTCATGTTTTAGCTGTTGATGATAATCTTATCGACCGTAAACTCGTTGAGAGGTTGCTCAAGATCTCTTCTTGCAAAGGTTAATTCCATCTCTCTTTTCACCTTTTCAATTCACTGTACGTTATTTTCTTTGTTTTGTACTCATTGTTTTTAAAATGTGTATTATTGCAGTGACAACAGCAGAGAATGCGCTTAGAGCATTGGAGTATTTGGGTTTGGGAGATCAAAATCAACATATTGATGCACTGACGACCAACAACGTAAGCAAACAAAAAAACACGTATTAAATCATTCAAGATCTATACCTCATTGATATATACCATGGTCTATGATAATAACTCAAAAATGCAGGATTTGAAGGTGAATCTAATCATCACAGATTACTGTATGCCTGGAATGACAGGTTTCGAGCTACTCAAGAAAGTGAAGGTACATATATACCAGCTTCTTGGAACCAAAATTCATATATACAATTATATCGGTAATTATTCAATCTGACAATCTCTTCCGTGTGTATCTGTAGCAGGAGTCATCATATCTGAAAGAGGTCCCTGTTGTGATAATGTCTTCAGAGAATATTCCTACTCGCATCAACAAGTAAGAACAACTGAGATCTGGTTAAGATCTAGTACTTTCTGTGTTTCTTATTGTGGAAGTAATTAGTTTATTAAGATCAATGTCTTTATGGTCTGTTTTTGGCTTTTAAAACCGCAGATGCTTAGCGAGTGGAGCTCAAATGTTTATGCAGAAGCCTCTCAAACTGTCTGATGTTGAGAAACTTAAATGTCAGCTCATGAACTGCAGAAGCTAACCATCCATATGAGAGATTAAAGTTTAGCTCTAACCTAAACATTCCATTGTCTTCTTGATTTCTTATTTTCAATTAGTTTTACAATTTTTGTTTTGTTTTTTGTTTCTTGAAACCAAGAAATGTCTTCATATATATATGCCTATAGTAGTAATCTCAAGCTTATAAACAAATATCATAGAAAATGGTTGTGGTGATGAAGATGATGACGATGTCTTCTGTGTTCCAACCCTAAACAGCGAATAAATGGATAACATGAGAGGAAGAAACATCTCTTTATTCCCCTAACCATTGAAAATGGAGGCCACACGCAACAACATTGATGATCCTCTTCTATCGTCGTTGTTTCTAATTTCTCTTTTCTTTTTCTCTTGTCTCTTTTTCTGCCGTTGTTGCATAGGATTGACATCGTTCCTGCGGCGAAAGAGAAGAATGAAAAGACATAATATTAAATCTTGTGCAGCAAGAAAGGTTTAGATTTCACTTTTTGTAACATATAACAAATTCCGAATAACGAGACCAGTATATATAAATGCAAAAAAATCCCAACTGAATCACGACGAGGGGCATGTTTTAAGAAAGATAAAACTTATTGGGTTCCCCTTTACCTTTACCGGAATCTCTTGTGAATGAGCTGTCAAGTTTTGCTTTTAGAAAGTCAAAGAAGATTTAACGGATGAGGAAAGACGATTGAACATTTTTTCTTCTCCGAGAGAGAGAGAGAGAGAGAGAGGGAGAGAGAGATCAGAGAGAAAGAAGTTGAAAGTCTCTAAAACGTACGTAGAGAGGATATATCAGAAATTGTCTCCTCAAGAAGAATAATACTTTTTTAGGAGACTTGTATTGTACGTCTCCATTGGAGCTTTCAACATCATATAACACGTGTCCCAGTTCTTATAGCATTATTAACCAAGATTTATTTATTATTTTTTTTTTTTTGGTAAAAGGTTAAATATTAACCCAAGATCTTTGTTATATGTTTTCACCTTTTAATTCTTTTTGTGCTTATGGACTACGTGCATAATGCTTTCCGGATCTGTGTATGTATGTACCGCACGATTTCTAGTATAGTACAATAAACATGAATTTGTTTTTAGAGTGGAACAAACCCTATATACGTAGAGATTATATGGAACACGTTATCAAATTTCAATAAATCTGTCCCAAGAAAGGTGGAAAATTAGCGGAGACGATTGAGGAGGTTGCATACGTATTTGGATAATGTATCTCGGAATTCAGTGCCACCAATATCTGACCTAATTACTTGTTTTGAAATTTTTGAATTTGAGTCTAGCTTATTACATTAGCTAGCTATTGGTTATTAATAAAGGGTCTTTCATTTGAGTAAACTAAACACCGATCCAATTTGAATTACCAAAATATTCTTACCTACAAACTGACAAACTCTTACTTCAAACTTGATTTTTTGAAATTATATTAAACAAACTCAATTTTAAAAAAAAAACATATCGATTTTTATAATTAATTACATGCTTTATGCGGATTTGAATTTGGACGATGCATGGACTCAACCAACAACGATACTAACATAAATTTTCAGGCTAGCAAACTAAACCAGTTTTTTTAATATATAATAAATGTTAAGATCTATCAGAAAATAATCGAATTCAAAGGCGAAATCAAAAATTTTTAATACTTAAATTTAAAACTAGAAAAATTCTGAAATTACAAAGAAACACATTTTTCTCATCGAAAAAAAGAAAGAAACACACTTTTTTCTATTAGGACTGAAGGCCAGAGCGTTTTAATCTGAGGCCCAAATGAGATAAAGGCCCAACTTAGTATTGTGACGGGCCAAGAATAACTGTAAAGGACGAACAAAGATTCTGTTCACTCTCTCTCTCTCGTTCGCTCGCTCGCTCTCTCAATCTTTCCGATTTGGTTGGGTCCTCTCCAAGTCTCTTGCGAAAATGGCGGCTTCGGTACAACCTGCATGCTTAGACCTCCACTTCTCCGGCAAGCATCCACCGCTTCCTAAACACTACGCTATTTCCGTCCGCTGCGTTTCTTCTCCCAATGTAATTCCCGAAGCTGACTCCATCACTGGCCCTCCTGATATCATCGATACCAGCCGTGACCAGCGCAAAGTGGTTCGTCTTGCCTGGGAGAAGTTGGTTCGATGGTCTCGTTCTTGGCGCGCTAAAGCCAAAACCGATGTTCTTGAGCGCACTCGCAAGGTTTTCGTTATCTTCAGTTTCTTTCTTCTTTGATTTCGTTTTCCTTTCAAAGGATTTTGAAAAGAATCTGGGGATTTTTAGGTTGTTGTTCTTGGTGGAGGTTCGTTTGGTACTGCAATGGCTGCTCATGTAGCTAGAAGGAAAGAGGGATTAGAGGTTAATATGCTAGTGCGTGACTCTTTTATTTGCCAATCTATCAACGAGAACCACCATAATTGGTACTTTCTATAGCGTTTGATTTTATCCAAACACAATTCATAATGCGACTTCACGATGACAATTTTGATGTTGTTCGAATTGTGCTTGGTTAACAGTAAGTACTTCCCTGAGCACAAGTTACCTGAGAATGTGATTGCCACAACTGATGCGAAAGCTGCATTGCTTGATGCTGATTACTGCCTCCATGCTGTACCTGTCCAGGTTTAAAGCGGATTGAGTTTTTGTTTTTTTTTTTTTTTTTTGTATTTTGGTTTATCTGCTTCTATGTTCTGCTGATTAATGCGGTTTGTTTGTCGCAGTTTAGCTCATCATATCTAGAAGGAATTTCCGATTATGTTGATCCAGGATTGCCTATTATATCTCTTAGCAAAGGTCTGGAGCTTAATACTCTTAGGATGATGTCTCAGATAATTCCTACTGCCCTTAAGAATCCAAGGCAACCTTTCGTTGCACTTTCTGGCCCGTCATTTGCTCTGGAGCTGATGAACAATTTACCAACGGGTTTCACTCTTGTTCTTCTTTCGTTTATATTCAAATAGCATTATATAGGTTTCTATTGCTGAATGCTGTTATGTTTTTCCTTTCGGTATATCTTTTTTGCCAGCAATGGTGGTTGCCTCGAAAGATAAGAAATTGGCAAATGCTGTTCAGCAGCTTCTGGCTTCTAGTTACTTGAGAATAAACACTTCCAGGTACAACATTTCAAAATCAGGGTCCATTGGTTTATATGATTTCTGGATGTATTTCTCTGCTGCGCTGGGATTATAACCGTTTATCCACCTGCTTGATAGTCTATTCATGTCTTGTGTATGTGCGGTATTCATGGCTGAGCTCTAATGGTTAATTACTTACTTCTTTGAGGGATTTTTGTGCACTCAGCTTGTAACCTCTGATCATTTCAGTGATGTTACAGGCGTGGAAATTGCCGGTGCCCTGAAGAATGTTCTAGCAATAGCTGCAGGAATTGTTGATGGAATGAATCTCGGTAACAACTCTATGGCAGCTCTTGTATCCCAAGGTTGTTCAGAGATAAGATGGTTAGCCACAAAGGTAGTAAATTTAATGTTTATATAATAGTTTCATTGAAAGTGGTTTTTATCCAAGAAACTTACCACGATGAGTACTAAATCCTGAGTTATATTGCATTCTCTGGGTTTTTCCGTTTTGTATGTGTGAAGATGGGTGCAAAGCCAACAACCATAACTGGTTTATCAGGAACTGGAGACATAATGCTCACGTGTTTTGTAAATCTTTCAAGAAACCGAACAGTTGGAGTTAGGTTAGGGTCAGGGGAGACACTAGATGACATACTAAGCTCTATGAGTCAGGTGTGTTTCTCACTGATGATCTTATGGTGAAACCAAAAAGATTGGTTGAATCTGAACCCCATGAATCAAATGACAATTGCTGCGCAGGTAGCAGAGGGTGTAGCAACTGCCGGGGCAGTGATAGCATTAGCACAGAAATACAATGTGAAGCTGCCGGTTTTGACAGCCGTAGCTAAGATAATAGATAATGAACTGACCCCGACTAAGGCTGTTCTTGAGCTCATGAACCTTCCTCAGGTTGATTCTATGTTTCCTAGATTCCCATCTCGACTCGACTACTTTTCTTGATTTTGATTTTGAGTATGGTCTGTATATTTCTGGTTTTGCAGATTGAAGAAGTATGAGATGGAACAATCGTTTTGAGGACCACATATTCAAAGAGATGGCTTTAAGGCGGCAAGAGCTTTGCATTCGTTTAGGGATAGCTAGTGATAGAGATGACTCGAAGTGACTTTTGTAATCGATTTTAGGCCCTGAATCTCATGAATGTGAATTGTTCATAAACATTTTACAAATCTGTGTAAAGTTTTCTCATACGTCTATAAAAGGGATTTTCCAGTATACAATTGTTAAGCGTGGACTCTGGCATCTGGGAGTGGGGATTCGTATTATCTTCGGACTTCTGAAGCCATGGTTTGAACTAGGGGTGTTTCAATTCGGGTACACCAAACCGATCTAACCCAAACTTTAACCGTTCTTTCTATTTTCGGTAAGCTTAGATGATAGGCCACCGATCATTAAAAAGTGAAAATGGGCTTTGAAACTGAGAGGCCCATAATAATTTTAAGGCCTAAAGATAAAACGGTGACGTATAGAAGGCAAAACCCTTGCAATTGCAGTGTGTCGTCGTCGTTGAGTCCTCGGAGACGGAGGGAAAAAAAACAGAAAACTCGTTTGTTTCGTCGAAGAAGAAGATGATGAAGAGAACCCAACAATCCGCAAGAGAATCAAAGCAAGAAGCTAAAGATGGAAGCAAAGGAAAGAGCGGTTTGTTTGCTTCATGTTCCTTCTCTTCCCTTGGCTTAGATCCCAAGCTCTCTGACCAGCTCCAAGGTTCTCTCTCTGCCTCTGCCTGTATTGGTATCCTCTGTTTATATATATATACTGAGCTTAATTTCTGAGTTTTAATGTTTTTTTTTTTCCGTGTTAATTTATACAGAAAGGATGGGATTTGAAGCTCCTACACTTGTACAAGCTCAAGCAATTCCTGTTATTCTCTCTGGTCGAGATGTGTATCCTTTCTTCTACAAAATTCTATCTTCTTTTTGTGTGAATTAGGATTATAATTTAAAGTTTGGTTTGTTTCCGTTAACTTGGGATATATAAATGTATAGACTTGTTAATGCTGCAACCGGTACTGGAAAGACTATAGCGTATTTGGCACCACTCATCCATCACTTGCAGGGCTATTCTCCCAAGGTTGATCGTTCTCATGGAACTTTTGGTATATGCCTGACCTGTTGTGCTAGCTTGAATTTAGAATTCGTTGGGAGGTGAAGTGATAATTTTGATGCTTGAACTTTCTATGTGGCAGCTTTGGTGATTGTGCCCACACGGGAACTGTGCCTTCAGGTGTATGAAACTTTGGAGAAGCTGCTGCATCGGTTCCATTGGATTGTCCCTGGCTATGTGATGGGAGGAGAGAAAAAGGCTAAAGAAAAGGCTAGGTTAAGGAAAGGTGCCATATTTTCTTCCATTTTTTGCATATTCTTTTCTTTGTGTGAAAAGTGATATGATCGCTTTGAATCCGGACTTACCGTTTTATTTCAGGGATATCCATTCTAATTGCAACCCCTGGACGTCTTCTTGACCATTTGAAGAACACAGCTTCATTCGTGCACAAAAATCTGCGTTGGGTTATCTTTGATGAAGCGGATTGGTATAAAGGCTGTACCCTGAAAGTTAATATCTTCCTTGATCCTGCCTGTGCTTCCTTTATTTAATTCTTCTTTTGAATTATGACAGCATTCTCGAATTAGGCTATGGGAAGGAGATAGAACAGATTATTAAGCTTCTAGGTTCTGGGCAAAACGAAGAAGGGGAAGAGGATAATATTGTTCCTAAAGGTGTTCAGAAGCAGAACTTGTTATTGTCAGCAACATTGAATGAAAAAGTTAACCACCTTGCAAAACTTAGTTTGGATGATCCGGTAATGATTGGTCTTGACAACAGCAAATTGCAACAAAATCTGTCTGTGGAGTCCCCTGCCTCTCCTAACTCTGATGGGGATGATATGGTAATTCATGTAAACAAATCCGTAAACCCTTCATCTGAGGACTATGGCATACCGTCACAGCTAGTGCAGAAATATGTTAGAGGTACAGTTATCTCCACTTGAATCTATTTATATTGTTCTGTGCTTCTAGTTTGATAGAATTATATATCATATGCAGTGCCATGTGGTGCAAGGCTTGTGGCACTTCTTTCTGTTCTCAAGAACCTTTTTGAAAGAGAAGCTTCTCAAAAGGTAAATTTCAAGCAAGCCCATATCCGAAGTTCCTGTCATATCTGTTTGTTTTTTATTATGAGGTTTTGTGCATTTTTCCAGGTAGTCGTATTCTTTTCGACACGTGATGCTGTAGATTTTCATTACTCACTTCTGAGTGAACTCCAATGGCCACCAAATTCTGGGAAAGAAGAGGAGGGGACTAAACAGTTGTTTCTTAAGTGCAAAACGTTTCGGTTACATGGAAGTATGGAGCAAGAGGATAGAAGATCTGCGTTTGGGACCTTTAAAACTGAGAAACAGGCTCTTCTCTTGAGTACAGATGTTGCTGCTAGGGGTTTGGATTTCCCTAAAGTAAGATGTATTATACAGTATGACTGTCCGGGAGAAGCTACCGAGTATGTGCATAGGTAAATTCTGGAATCTCCAAAAGCACTTGACGTTGCTGCCTTAAATATATAATACCTTGAATTTCTGAGCTTGTGTGTTTATGTTATGATTCATGGTTGCAGAGTGGGTAGAACAGCTCGTATTGGTGAAAAAGGAGAAGCGTTGTTATTTCTACAGCCAATTGAAATAGACTATCTTAAGGAGCTTAAGAAACACGGTGCATCACTTACAGAGTACCCTCTTCTAAAAGTACTTGATAAATTTCCCATACCCGGCAATATGCCCCGCATCAAAAAGGTCATATCCCTAGAATCGCATCCTTGGGTTATATCACTGCAGAGAGCTCTTGAATCCGTTACTTACTCCGAGGTACGTTTTTATTCAGTGTGTTCCCTCTCGCTGTGATTGATTTATACTCTTGAGAGTAGAAAAAACCTCTCCTTGCTTGTGGCTGTTTTATTCACAGCCAAAGATGAAGAACCTGGCAAAGAATGCATTTGTCTCTTGGGTAAGGGGATATGCAGCTCACAAGGGAGAGCTCAAAAGCATTTTCGTGGTAAAGAAGCTTCACTTGGGTCATGTCGCCAAGAGCTTTGCTCTGAGAGAGCAACCGTCTTTAGTTGGGAAATCACATCATAAAGAATCGATGAAGAGGAAGAGAGACGAACGCCAAAAAGGACAACAAGCTAAGAAGAGAAAGAATATGAGCGGCAGTGGCGGTAGAAGTACACAAAAAACTAGATAAAATCAGTTTCGCCACCATAAACCATAGCACAAGTTTTTGTAATGAGTGAGCTGTTTTGTTCATCGAAAATTTTGAGAAATCTACGAAGTTTGGAACTTGAACCATCGTTTGTTTACATTATTACTTGTATTAACCAGAAAGCTGAAGATTCACTACAAATTCACGGAAGTTTGCATCCCTGAGGTTTAGTCAAAACAGTTCTTAGGGGAAACTATAGAAGTCTAAGTCTAGATTTGCTCATTTTTTTATACCTTACAGGAAGATATTACCAAATCAACACCAACATTATGTCTAAAGTAATGTTTTTAGATATAATAAAATGGCAAATTTAAAAGATTTTAAAGAAAATGGCAAAAATCTACAAATGCCACTAAAAAGAGTTCTTTTCACATAATTGATTCTTTTTGAAATGGGTAACAAAATCTATTCTTGGGAATTAGAAACCCGAAATTTTATTCTTGCGTTCTCATGGCTTGAATCCGGATCAGTGCTGGAGCTCGGAAGCTAGAGTAACACTTTCTTCTGGAGTTCAGAGGCACACGTTGTGGGTTCGTTTATACGACTTGTGCTTGAAACCACAAAGACATTAGAGAAGATGGGTCCTATGGTTGGAACCTTACTATTTTCTTAAAATCAAAAGGTTTTATGCACGAGTTGCTTGAGATCGTTTCAGTGCTTACTCGAAACAAAAATGTCTCCATTGTGATCTCAAAAACCAGATGCCAATTTCTAAAAATGTAATATTTTGTTTTGTTTCTAGTAAGAAACTTGATCAAATTCAAATCTGTGTAGCCAGCCACCATATTTCATTTTTGCATTAGTTTTTTTCTTAAGTTCGAAACTTGGAACACTTATTTTTGTTAAAGAATATAAACTTGAATTAACCAGACATAGACAGGTAAAGAGATGCAAAACAATTGCTTATTACAAACAAAATTCTAACCAAGTCTTGAATATCAAAATCAAATTTTTGCGGAAGATAACGACGACGATGCTGATATGCGTTTCAAGCTTCACGCCGTTCACATTCGTCGGGGACTTTCTTGTTTAGCTGATTCTTACATTTCTCCGACTTCGGTTAGTTGTGATATTAGAGCTCTGATTCAGAAAGGAGAGTATCTACAAGCTCTGCATTTGTACACTAAGCATGATGCCTCTTCTCCCTTGTGGACTTCCGTTTTCACATTTCCTTCTCTTCTCAAAGCTTGTTCTTCTCTTACGAACCTTGGCTATGGCAAAACTATTCATGCTTCGGTCATTCTGTTGGGTCGGCGTTACGATCCTTTCATTGCAACCTCGCTTGTCAATATGTATGTAAAATGTGGATCTTTAGATTACGCCGTCCATGTGTTCGACGGTTGGTCTCAGAGTGGAGTTTCTGCTCTGGATGTCACAGTTTGGAACTCTATGATTGATGGGTTCTTCAAATTTCGAAGATTTAAGGAAGGGGTTGAGTGTTTTCGCCGAATGCTGGTGTTGGGTGTGAGACCTGATGCTTTCTCGTTATCCATTGTCGTCAGTGTTTTCTGTAAAGAAGGAAACTTGAGGCGGGAAGAGGGGAAACAGATCCATGGGTATATGTTGAGGTGTTCGTTAGATGGTGATTCTTTCTTGAAAACTGCTTTGATTGATATGTACTTCAAGTTGGGTTTATCCACAGATGCGTGGCGTGTTTTTGTGGAGATTGAGGACAAATCGAATGTTGTACTATGGAATGTGATGATTGCTCGGTTTGGTACTAGTGGGATCTGTGAATCTAGCTTGGAGTTGTATATGCTTGCAAAGAGTAACAGTGTCAAGCTTGTTTCCACTTCATTTACAGGGGCTCTTGGTGCGTGTAGCCGAAGTGAGAATTATGGTTTTGGTAGGCAGATCCATTGCGACATTGTGAAGATGGGACTTGACAATGACCCGTATGTCTCTACTTCTCTACTGTCAATGTATTCAAAATGCGGTATGGTTGGTGAGGCCGAAACTGTCTTCAGTTGCGTTATAGATAAAAGACTTGAAATATGGAACGCGATGATTGCAGCTTATGTAGAGAATGACTATGGGTCCTCTGCATTGGAGTTGTTCGGTTTCATGAGGCAGAAAAGTGTCTTGCCTGATTCTTTTACCTTATCGAATGTTATATCCTGTTGCAGCATGTTGGGAATGTATAATTATGGCAAATCAGTCCACACAGAACTGTTTAAGAGACCAATACAAAGTACATCTACAGTAGACAGTGCTTTACTCACTTTGTATTCCACATGTGGATGTGATACTGATGCTGATTTAGTCTTCAAATCAATGGAAGGAAAAGATATGGTTGCGTGGTCCTCCCTGATCTCAGGTCTTTGCAAGAATGGGAAATTTAAAGAGGCTCTGAAGGTTTTCAGGTCCATGAAAGATGAAGATGATAACTTGAAACCTGATTCTGATATTATGACTAGTGTTATTAACGCATGCGCCGGATTAGAGGCTCTCAGGTTTGGCCTTCAGTATCATGGTGGCATGATCAAAACTGGACTAGTGCTGAATGTTTTTGTTGGCAGCTCCCTTATTGATCTATATTCGAAGTGTGGCTTACCAGAAATGGCTCTCAAAGTATTCACTAGCATAAGAAAGGACAACATTGTTGCCTGGAATTCAATGATATCTTGCTACAGCCGAAACAACCTTCCAGAACTATCGATAGAACATTTCAATCTGATGCTCAGTCAAGGTGTCTTCCCGGATTCAGTATCAATCACAAGTGTCCTTGTAGCAATCTCATCAACTGCAAGCTTTCTTAGCGGTAAAAGTCTACATGGTTATACATTACGACTTAACATTCCTTCAGATTCTCACCTGAAAAACGCTTTGATTGATATGTACCTTAAGTGCGGGTTTTCAAAGTATGCAGAGGATATCTTCAAGAAAATGAGGCATAAGAGTCTGATCACTTGGAACCTAATGATATATGGATACGGATCCCATGGATATTGTTTTAGAGCATTGAGTCTATTTGACGAGATGAAGAAGGCAGGAGTATCACCCAATGAAGTAACATTCCTGTCTTTGATTTCAGCCTGCAATCATTCCGGTTTTGTGAAGGAAGGCAAAAACATTTTCGAGATCATGAAACAAGACTATGGAATCGAACCAAACGTTGAACATTATGCAAACATGGTAGATCTTCTAGGACGGGCGGGTCACCTGAAAGAAGCTTACAGTTTCATAAAAGGAATACCTATTGAACCAGACAGTAGCATATGGCTCTGCCTCTTATCTGCCTCAAGAACTCATCATAATGTGGAACTTGGAATATTGTCTGCTGAGAAGTTGTTGAGAATGGAACCGGAAAGAAGCAGTGCCTATGTTCAGCTAATCAATCTTTACAAGGAAGCAGGACTGAAGAACGAAGCAGCGAAGTTGTTGGGTGAGATGAAGGACAAAGGCTTGCAGAAAAAACCTGGTTGCAGTTGGATTGAAGTTAGCAATAGAAAGTATGCTTTCTTTTCAGGAGGTTCATCTAGTTCAGTAAAGGCTGAGATCTTCAACGTATTGAATAGGTTGAAGAATAATATGGTAGAGGAGGACAAGTCCACTTGAACAAGATAATATTCCGAACTGATGGTATTTTTACATCACTTCTACTTCTCAGAAACTCATAAGAAACGCTCTTTTTGTAAGTGTAGAGTAAAAATAGAGACACTCTTGGGGTTTAAAATGAATGATATTACAAATCAAATAATTTGTTGGTTGCTTGGTTGAACTCTCGAGTCACCTGGAGATACTTTCAAAAAAATGTACATTGTATGCTGTTTATCGTCTTCCTTCCTCTAGTGTTTGTCACATTCCAGATGAGGTTCGATTAATGCGTTGGGCACCTAGTCTAGGAGCTGCAGGTTTGGCTCCTCGACCACGACCAGAAGATAACGGTTTCGCTCTGGTGGTTGGTGGTGGAGCAGCAATGGCAGCCCATGGGTCTTCATCATCAGACTGTACTGTCTTCTTCAAGTTCAACGGTCTTGAAGTAGTTGCAGGTGGTGGAGCAGCTATAGATCCCCACAAATCATCGTCTTCTGTTTTCACAGCTGCTTTCGCCGCGCTAATCTTTGGTCTTGAGCTTGTAGCTATCAAGAGCGAGGAATAACACACAAGCATATCAACTTTAGAAAGTTCAACAGAATGTGGTGAGGCAAACTGATTCAGCTAAAACTAAGTAAATACCTGCAGGTCTAGAGGACTGAGACACAGGTCGTTTTTGAGCTGCTTGAATGTTTGCGAGAGCTGGAGAAGCTATTGGTTCATCCAGCGGTTCGAGATCCCAACCGTCTTTGTCACTCTCATGACCTTCGCTAATGCCATTCTCGGCATCTCCCCAACCATCTGTTGATGTTGGGGATGGTGGTGCAGGTTGATCTGTGAAGTCCGAGTTGGAACGTGTATGATGACTGGCTTTGACACTCGGCGCCTCCGTTGCTGAGGAAAATTTTCAAGAAATAAACAAAAATAGGAAATTATAGGAAAGTACTGGGAACTGCACAGACCAGCCAACAGAGCATATAAAGCAACATCTTTTTTCTTTTAGTATTAATACAGTGGTTGCACAATTCAACAAACTTTACAATGAGGGTTAATACAAAATTTATTGTAAGTGATCGTGTACCTGTGGTTGCAACATTTGAGGCAGCAGCAGCAGCTAGGGATGGTGCTGAAGAAGAAGAAGCAAGAGGCGCTTGTTCGAGTGGCTTACCCTTGAGTGTCAACGAACTCATTGCCCATCTATAAAAGTAATTAAATTAGTCTAATATATACTTAAATCAGCGACCATTGTTGATATAATTTGAATTGATTATACTCACCCAATCAGACCAGCAGTTTCAGGTATAGCTGAAGCTCCTCCGCTGGCTCCTGTCTCTCCATTGTTTGTCTATTAACACCCCAAATAAAATAATTGTTACATTCCATCCCCTAATAATATATATAAAAACAGCTGAACGAAAGATTTAGGTAGACATATTATTCCTACCTTCTCATAGTTCTGTTTCAGTATCTGAAGAAATTGTTCTACGGCCTGAAATGCCTTTGAACGGACATCACTGTAAGTAAAACAAGAGAAAATGCTTTAGATGTTGTCGGAAAATAAGCTATTAGAAATCGATATGCATTTAAAGGAACCTGTCTTGATCAATTGTTAGCACAACGAT